AAACTATTTCAAACTTAAAGTAAAGATCTACTTGGCCGATTGAACTGAAACTTTGTAGGAATGATCGAATCATGGTCCTGACAAAGTGTTGTTATTTTTCGGGTCAATCAGAAATACAATTTGGCTGCCATGGCCGCTATTTTGCTACTAAGTTCTAATAGGCCGATCTCACTTAAAATTGGTCTAGGAATGATCAGCTCATGGTCCTGACAAAGTTAAGTTAACATTATACTATTTTTTACTCAAATTGGTACATATTTCAACAACAAAAATAAATACTATAGACTCAGGTGACCGTTAAGGCCCATGGGCCTCTTGTTATAATAACATAATTCAGTTCAACTTAATTGAAATAAGAGTTGAATTAAAATTTGCCATCTTGTATATATATGTTATTGGGAAAAGGCTTTATATAAGTTGGACAACATGTGCCTTATCTCTTTTGTATAAATAAAAAAACCCGCTGTATAAAAGTATTGGGATCTGTGTCGCATCCCTTTGTCTAATTGAAAAGACAAGATTAGAAAAAAACCTGATTATCCAAATTATCTTTTGGCCTCTGTTGTGGTCGCTCTTACCAAACTATATCATATGGTATACGATACTAAATAGTATAATATCACTAATATTATAACACATATATTGAATAATTCCACTTTGTTTTTATTCTTTCTTTCTTTTTTTTTTAAATATTTAAACATTTAAAGTATAATATTGATAACTGAAAATATAAATTAGAAATTAAATTATTTCCCTCCCGACTCACCCTGAAACACACATATTTTTTGTTTTGGCCCTAATCCGTTTGGCGATGTTTTGTAGGGGTACGTCAGCACCTGGCTACCTGGATCAGGAAACTCGAATGTGGTGGGGATATTGAAAAACAGCATTTCTTTAAAACCAGGTTCATCCAATCATTGAAAACATCTCCAGTTGCCATAGAAACGGACAAAGCCAACGAACAGCATTATGAAGTACCAACGGAATTTTTCAAAACGGTATCTAACAAAATAATAATACACTTATTCCAGATTATGCAGATGTATTGATTTAAAACAAAAAAATAAATTGATTTTTGTTTGTCTGTAATGTCTGAAGGTGATTGTTTTACTCCTAGGATATTATGTAAATATAAATCTTCAGTTTTAAGTATTTTAATAATTATCTTTATAACTCTAGCTATTATCAAATTGTTCTTCAGGTACTTGGACCTCGCCTTAAGTACAGTGCATGCTTGTGGGACGCCGGAACCAGTAATCTTGAGGAAGGTACGAAAACAGGTTTACTTTTGTGATCAGTAAGCATAAAACAGTTGTATCATGTTTACATAATGTAGCTAATACATAGTCCTTTATATACTCCATTTCGTATTAACCAAAAAACCATGATATATGCTGGTAGCTACTCAACCGATAAAACGATAATAAATAATAAATAATTAGGGAAAAGAGAGATATCTCTGACCAAAATAAATAGCAAAACAGTTTATAACATGGAGAATATTTAATAGTTTGTCGTTTAATACCAAATATTTCATGAGAAGCAAAAGTCTTGATAGAAAACGTAATACACAGAACATTCTCGGTAACTTCGTGAATGACAAAATTCCATTCAATAGTTGAAATAGTGTGATATCTTTAACTCGTGTTATGTACTAGTGAAAATATAAAAATAACACTAAATCATAAAATTCAACTATTAATCATCAAGAGACAAAGGCTATCCTCTATATCATCAGGTCAGGTGTTATCCGTCACAGCGATGGTTTAGATAGGCTGTCCTCTATATCATTGGGTCAGGTGTTATCCGTCACAGCGATGGTTTAGGTAGGCTATCCTCTATATCATCGGGTCAGGTGTTATCCGTCACAGCGATGGTTTAGATAGGCTATCCTCTATATCATCGGGTCAGGTGTTATCCGTCACAGCGATGGTTTAGATAGGCTATCCTCTATATCATCGGGTCAGGTGTTATCCGTCACAGCGATGGTTTAGATAGGCTATCCTCTATATCATCGGGTCAGGTGTTATCCGTCACAGCGATGGTTTAGATAGGCTATCCTCTATATCATCGGGTCAGGTGTTATCCGTCACAGCGATGGTTTAGATAGGCTATCCTCTATATCATCGGGTCAGGTGTTATCCGTCACAGCGATGGTTTAGATAGGCTATCCTCTATATCATCGGGTCAGGTGTTATCCGTCACAGCGATGGTTTAGATAGGCTATCCTCTATATCATCGGGTCAGGTGTTATCCGTCACAGCGATGGTTTAGATAGGCTATCCTCTATATCATCGGGTCAGGTGTTATCCGTCACAGCGATGGTTTAGATAGGCTATCCTCTATATCATCGGGTCAGGTGTTATCCGTCACAGCGATGGTTTAGATAGGCTATCCTCTATATCATCGGGTCAGGTGTTATCCGTCACAGCGATGGTTTAGATAGGCTATCCTCTATATCATCGGGTCAGGTGTTATCCGTCACAGCGATGGTTTAGATAGGCTATCCTCTATATCATCGGGTCAGGTGTTATCCGTCACAGCGATGGTTTAGATAGGCTATCCTCTATATCATCGGGTCAGGTGTTATCCGTCACAGCGATGGTTTAGATAGGCTATCCTCTATATCATCGGGTCAGGTGTTATCCGTCACAGCGATGGTTTAGATAGGCTATCCTCTATATCATCGGGTCAGGTGTTATCCGTCACAGCGATGGTTTAGATAGGCTATCCTCTATATCATCGGGTCAGGTGTTATCCGTCACAGCGATGGTTTAGATAGGCTATCCTCTATATCATCGGGTCAGGTGTTATCCGTCACAGCGATGGTTTAGATAGGCTATCCTCTATATCATCGGGTCAGGTGTTATCCGTCACAGCGATGGTTTAGATAGGCTATCCTCTATATCATCGGGTCAGGTGTTATCCGTCACAGCGATGGTTTAGATAGGCTATCCTCTATATCATCGGGTCAGGTGTTATCCGTCACAGCGATGGTTTAGATAGGCTATCCTCTATATCATCGGGTCAGGTGTTATCCGTCACAGCGATGGTTTAGATAGGCTATCCTCTATATCATCGGGTCAGGTGTTATCCGTCACAGCGATGGTTTAGATAGGCTATCCTCTATATCATCGGGTCAGGTGTTATCCGTCACAGCGATGGTTTAGATAGGCTATCCTCTATATCATCGGGTCAGGTGTTATCCGTCACAGCGATGGTTTAGATAGGCTATCCTCTATATCATCGGGTCAGGTGTTATCCGTCACAGCGATGGTTTAGATAGGCTATCCTCTATATCATCGGGTCAGGTGTTATCCGTCACAGCGATGGTTTAGATAGGCTATCCTCTATATCATCGGGTCAGGTGTTATCCGTCACAGCGATGGTTTAGATAGGCTATCCTCTATATCATCGGGTCAGGTGTTATCCGTCACAGCGATGGTTTAGATAGGCTATCCTCTATATCATCGGGTCAGGTGTTATCCGTCACAGCGATGGTTTAGATAGGCTATCCTCTATATCATCGGGTCAGGTGTTATCCGTCACAGCGATGGTTTAGATAGGCTATCCTCTATATCATCGGGTCAGGTGTTATCCGTCACAGCGATGGTTTAGATAGGCTATCCTCTATATCATCGGGTCAGGTGTTATCCGTCACAGCGATGGTTTAGATAGGCTATCCTCTATATCATCGGGTCAGGTGTTATCCGTCACAGCGATGGTTTAGATAGGCTATCCTCTATATCATCGGGTCAGGTGTTATCCGTCACAGCGATGGTTTAGATAGGCTATCCTCTATATCATCGGGTCAGGTGTTATCCGTCACAGCGATGGTTTAGATAGGCTATCCTCTATATCATCGGGTCAGGTGTTATCCGTCACAGCGATGGTTTAGATAGGCTATCCTCTATATCATCGGGTCAGGTGTTATCCGTCACAGCGATGGTTTAGATAGGCTATCCTCTATATCATCGGGTCAGGTGTTATCCGTCACAGCGATGGTTTAGATAGGCTATCCTCTATATCATCGGGTCAGGTGTTATCCGTCACAGCGATGGTTTAGATAGGCTATCCTCTATATCATCGGGTCAGGTGTTATCCGTCACAGCGATGGTTTAGATAGGCTATCCTCTATATCATCGGGTCAGGTGTTATCCGTCACAGCGATGGTTTAGATAGGCTATCCTCTATATCATCGGGTCAGGTGTTATCCGTCACAGCGATGGTTTAGATAGGCTATCCTCTATATCATCGGGTCAGGTGTTATCCGTCACAGCGATGGTTTAGATAGGCTATCCTCTATATCATCGGGTCAGGTGTTATCCGTCACAGCGATGGTTTAGATAGGCTATCCTCTATATCATCGGGTCAGGTGTTATCCGTCACAGCGATGGTTTAGATAGGCTATCCTCTATATCATCGGGTCAGGTGTTATCCGTCACAGCGATGGTTTAGATAGGCTATCCTCTATATCATCGGGTCAGGTGTTATCCGTCACAGCGATGGTTTAGATAGGCTATCCTCTATATCATCGGGTCAGGTGTTATCCGTCACAGCGATGGTTTAGATAGGCTATCCTCTATATCATCGGGTCAGGTGTTATCCGTCACAGCGATGGTTTAGATAGGCTATCCTCTATATCATCGGGTCAGGTGTTATCCGTCACAGCGATGGTTTAGATAGGCTATCCTCTATATCATCGGGTCAGGTGTTATCCGTCACAGCGATGGTTTAGATAGGCTATCCTCTATATCATCGGGTCAGGTGTTATCCGTCACAGCGATGGTTTAGATAGGCTATCCTCTATATCATCGGGTCAGGTGTTATCCGTCACAGCGATGGTTTAGATAGGCTATCCTCTATATCATCGGGTCAGGTGTTATCCGTCACAGCGATGGTTTAGATAGGCTATCCTCTATATCATCGGGTCAGGTGTTATCCGTCACAGCGATGGTTTAGATAGGCTATCCTCTATATCATCGGGTCAGGTGTTATCCGTCACAGCGATGGTTTAGATAGGCTATCCTCTATATCATCGGGTCAGGTGTTATCCGTCACAGCGATGGTTTAGATAGGCTATCCTCTATATCATCGGGTCAGGTGTTATCCGTCACAGCGATGGTTTAGATAGGCTATCCTCTATATCATCGGGTCAGGTGTTATCCGTCACAGCGATGGTTTAGATAGGCTATCCTCTATATCATCGGGTCAGGTGTTATCCGTCACAGCGATGGTTTAGATAGGCTATCCTCTATATCATCGGGTCAGGTGTTATCCGTCACAGCGATGGTTTAGATAGGCTATCCTCTATATCATCGGGTCAGGTGTTATCCGTCACAGCGATGGTTTAGATAGGCTATCCTCTATATCATCGGGTCAGGTGTTATCCGTCACAGCGATGGTTTAGATAGGCTATCCTCTATATCATCGGGTCAGGTGTTATCCGTCACAGCGATGGTTTAGATAGGCTATCCTCTATATCATCGGGTCAGGTGTTATCCGTCACAGCGATGGTTTAGATAGGCTATCCTCTATATCATCGGGTCAGGTGTTATCCGTCACAGCGATGGTTTAGATAGGCTATCCTCTATATCATCGGGTCAGGTGTTATCCGTCACAGCGATGGTTTAGATAGGCTATCCTCTATATCATCGGGTCAGGTGTTATCCGTCACAGCGATGGTTTAGATAGGCTATCCTCTATATCATCGGGTCAGGTGTTATCCGTCACAGCGATGGTTTAGATAGGCTATCCTCTATATCATCGGGTCAGGTGTTATCCGTCACAGCGATGGTTTAGATAGGCTATCCTCTATATCATCGGGTCAGGTGTTATCCGTCACAGCGATGGTTTAGATAGGCTATCCTCTATATCATCGGGTCAGGTGTTATCCGTCACAGCGATGGTTTAGATAGGCTATCCTCTATATCATCGGGTCAGGTGTTATCCGTCACAGCGATGGTTTAGATAGGCTATCCTCTATATCATCGGGTCAGGTGTTATCCGTCACAGCGATGGTTTAGATAGGCTATCCTCTATATCATCGGGTCAGGTGTTATCCGTCACAGCGATGGTTTAGATAGGCTATCCTCTATATCATCGGGTCAGGTGTTATCCGTCACAGCGATGGTTTAGATAGGCTATCCTCTATATCATCGGGTCAGGTGTTATCCGTCACAGCGATGGTTTAGATAGGCTATCCTCTATATCATCGGGTCAGGTGTTATCCGTCACAGCGATGGTTTAGATAGGCTATCCTCTATATCATCGGGTCAGGTGTTATCCGTCACAGCGATGGTTTAGATAGGCTATCCTCTATATCATCGGGTCAGGTGTTATCCGTCACAGCGATGGTTTAGATAGGCTATCCTCTATATCATCGGGTCAGGTGTTATCCGTCACAGCGATGGTTTAGATAGGCTATCCTCTATATCATCGGGTCAGGTGTTATCCGTCACAGCGATGGTTTAGATAGGCTATCCTCTATATCATCGGGTCAGGTGTTATCCGTCACAGCGATGGTTTAGATAGGCTATCCTCTATATCATCGGGTCAGGTGTTATCCGTCACAGCGATGGTTTAGATAGGCTATCCTCTATATCATCGGGTCAGGTGTTATCCGTCACAGCGATGGTTTAGATAGGCTATCCTCTATATCATCGGGTCAGGTGTTATCCGTCACAGCGATGGTTTAGATAGGCTATCCTCTATATCATCGGGTCAGGTGTTATCCGTCACAGCGATGGTTTAGATAGGCTATCCTCTATATCATCGGGTCAGGTGTTATCCGTCACAGCGATGGTTTAGATAGGCTATCCTCTATATCATCGGGTCAGGTGTTATCCGTCACAGCGATGGTTTAGATAGGCTATCCTCTATATCATCGGGTCAGGTGTTATCCGTCACAGCGATGGTTTAGATAGGCTATCCTCTATATCATCGGGTCAGGTGTTATCCGTCACAGCGATGGTTTAGATAGGCTATCCTCTATATCATCGGGTCAGGTGTTATCCGTCACAGCGATGGTTTAGATAGGCTATCCTCTATATCATCGGGTCAGGTGTTATCCGTCACAGCGATGGTTTAGATAGGCTATCCTCTATATCATCGGGTCAGGTGTTATCCGTCACAGCGATGGTTTAGATAGGCTATCCTCTATATCATCGGGTCAGGTGTTATCCGTCACAGCGATGGTTTAGATAGGCTATCCTCTATATCATCGGGTCAGGTGTTATCCGTCACAGCGATGGTTTAGATAGGCTATCCTCTATATCATCGGGTCAGGTGTTATCCGTCACAGCGATGGTTTAGATAGGCTATCCTCTATATCATCGGGTCAGGTGTTATCCGTCACAGCGATGGTTTAGATAGGCTATCCTCTATATCATCGGGTCAGGTGTTATCCGTCACAGCGATGGTTTAGATAGGCTATCCTCTATATCATCGGGTCAGGTGTTATCCGTCACAGCGATGGTTTAGATAGGCTATCCTCTATATCATCGGGTCAGGTGTTATCCGTCACAGCGATGGTTTAGATAGGCTATCCTCTATATCATCGGGTCAGGTGTTATCCGTCACAGCGATGGTTTAGATAGGCTATCCTCTATATCATCGGGTCAGGTGTTATCCGTCACAGCGATGGTTTAGATAGGCTATCCTCTATATCATCGGGTCAGGTGTTATCCGTCACAGCGATGGTTTAGATAGGCTATCCTCTATATCATCGGGTCAGGTGTTATCCGTCACAGCGATGGTTTAGATAGGCTATCCTCTATATCATCGGGTCAGGTGTTATCCGTCACAGCGATGGTTTAGATAGGCTATCCTCTATATCATCGGGTCAGGTGTTATCCGTCACAGCGATGGTTTAGATAGGCTATCCTCTATATCATCGGGTCAGGTGTTATCCGTCACAGCGATGGTTTAGATAGGCTATCCTCTATATCATCGGGTCAGGTGTTATCCGTCACAGCGATGGTTTAGATAGGCTATCCTCTATATCATCGGGTCAGGTGTTATCCGTCACAGCGATGGTTTAGATAGGCTATCCTCTATATCATCGGGTCAGGTGTTATCCGTCACAGCGATGGTTTAGATAGGCTATCCTCTATATCATCGGGTCAGGTGTTATCCGTCACAGCGATGGTTTAGATAGGCTATCCTCTATATCATCGGGTCAGGTGTTATCCGTCACAGCGATGGTTTAGATAGGCTATCCTCTATATCATCGGGTCAGGTGTTATCCGTCACAGCGATGGTTTAGATAGGCTATCCTCTATATCATCGGGTCAGGTGTTATCCGTCACAGCGATGGTTTAGATAGGCTATCCTCTATATCATCGGGTCAGGTGTTATCCGTCACAGCGATGGTTTAGATAGGCTATCCTCTATATCATCGGGTCAGGTGTTATCCGTCACAGCGATGGTTTAGATAGGCTATCCTCTATATCATCGGGTCAGGTGTTATCCGTCACAGCGATGGTTTAGATAGGCTATCCTCTATATCATCGGGTCAGGTGTTATCCGTCACAGCGATGGTTTAGATAGGCTATCCTCTATATCATCGGGTCAGGTGTTATCCGTCACAGCGATGGTTTAGATAGGCTATCCTCTATATCATCGGGTCAGGTGTTATCCGTCACAGCGATGGTTTAGATAGGCTATCCTCTATATCATCGGGTCAGGTGTTATCCGTCACAGCGATGGTTTAGATAGGCTATCCTCTATATCATCGGGTCAGGTGTTATCCGTCACAGCGATGGTTTAGATAGGCTATCCTCTATATCATCGGGTCAGGTGTTATCCGTCACAGCGATGGTTTAGATAGGCTATCCTCTATATCATCGGGTCAGGTGTTATCCGTCACAGCGATGGTTTAGATAGGCTATCCTCTATATCATCGGGTCAGGTGTTATCCGTCACAGCGATGGTTTAGATAGGCTATCCTCTATATCATCGGGTCAGGTGTTATCCGTCACAGCGATGGTTTAGATAGGCTATCCTCTATATCATCGGGTCAGGTGTTATCCGTCACAGCGATGGTTTAGATAGGCTATCCTCTATATCATCGGGTCAGGTGTTATCCGTCACAGCGATGGTTTAGATAGGCTATCCTCTATATCATCGGGTCAGGTGTTATCCGTCACAGCGATGGTTTAGATAGGCTATCCTCTATATCATCGGGTCAGGTGTTATCCGTCACAGCGATGGTTTAGATAGGCTATCCTCTATATCATCGGGTCAGGTGTTATCCGTCACAGCGATGGTTTAGATAGGCTATCCTCTATATCATCGGGTCAGGTGTTATCCGTCACAGCGATGGTTTAGATAGGCTATCCTCTATATCATCGGGTCAGGTGTTATCCGTCACAGCGATGGTTTAGATAGGCTATCCTCTATATCATCGGGTCAGGTGTTATCCGTCACAGCGATGGTTTAGATAGGCTATCCTCTATATCATCGGGTCAGGTGTTATTCGTCACAGTGATGGTTTAGATAGGCTGTCCTCTATATCATTGTTTCAGGTGTTATCCGTCACAGCGATGGTTTAGATAGGCTATCCTCTATATCATTGGGTAGGTGTTATCCGTCACAGCGATGGTTAAGATAGGCTGTCTTCTATATCATCGGGTCAGGTGTTATACGTCACAGCGATGGTTTAGATAGGCTAATCTCTATATCATCGGGTCAGGTGTTATTCGTCACATTGATGGTTTAGATAGGCTGTCCTCTATATCATTGGTTCAGGTGTTATCCGTCACAGCGATGTTTAAGATAGGCTATCCTCTATATCATCGGTCAGGTGTTATCCGTCACAGTGATGGTTTATATAGGCTATCCTCTATATCATCAGGTCAGGTGTTATCCGTCACAGCGATGGTTAAGATAGGCTGTCTTCTATATCATCGGGTCAGGTGTTATTCGTCACAGAGATGGTTTAGATAGGCTGTCCTCTATATCATTGTTTCAGGTGTTATCCGCCACAGCGATGGTTTAGATAGGCTGTCCTCTATATCACCAGGTCAGGTGTTATCCGTCACAGCGATGTTTAAGATAGGCTATCCTCTATATCATTGGGTCAGGGGTTATCCGTCACAGCGATGGTTAAGATAGGCTGTCCTCTATATCATCGGGTCAGGGGTTATCCGTCACAGCGATGGTTTGGACAGAGTCTCTTGGAAACGTTCAAAGCCAAGACTGCCTATCCTCTATATCATCGGGTCAGGGGTTATCCGTCACAGCGATGGTTAAGATAGGCTGTCTTCTATATCATCGGGTCAGGTGTTATTCGTCACAGTGATGGTTTAGATAGGCTGGCCTCTATATCATTGTTTCAGGTGTTATCCGTCACAGAGATGGTTTAGATAGGCTGTCCTCTATATCATTGGTTCAGGTGTTATCCGTCACAGCGATGGGTAAGATAGGCTGTCCTCTATATCATCGGGGCAGGTGTTATCCGCAACAGCGATGGTTTAGACAGAGTCTCTTGGAAACGTTCAAAGCCAAGACTGGCTATCCTCTATATCATCGGGTCAGGTGTGATTCGTCACAGTGATGGTTTAGATAGGCTGTCCTCTATATCATCAGGTCAGGTGTTATCCGTCACAGCGATGTTTAAGATAGGCTATCCTCTATATCATTGGGTAGGTGTTATCCGTCACAGCGATGGTTAAGATAGGCTGTCCTCTATATCATTGGGTCAGGTGTTATCTGTCACAGTGATGGTTTAGATAGGCTGGCCTCTATATCATTGTTTCAGGTGTTATCCGTCACCGCGATGGTTTAGATAGGCTGTCCTCTATATCACCAGGTCAGGTGTTATCCGTCACAGCGATGTTTAAGATAGGCTATCCTCTATATCATTGGGTAGGTGTTATCCGTCACAGCGATGGTTAAGATAGGCTATCACCTATATCATCGGGTCAGGTGTTATCCGTCACAGCGATGGTTTAGACAGAGTCTCTTGGAAACGTTCAAAGCCAAGACTGGTACAATATCTAACTTACGCAGCATGACATTGTTTGGACCACATGCGTTGTAAAAATACCAGGAGATCTGGAATGGTGACACCCCACTGAAAACAGTCTTGGATCCACCACGACTGATCCCAGTTCTAGTAAGGGGCAGGATGATTTATAATAAAAAAACTAAATATATATTTGACCTTGATATTTTTGTTACAGCCGAGAATATTTCGCTGAAGGTCTACTGCGAGCGGGCACGTCTGGAGGACGGCCATACCGTTATGGTAGGTGTGCGCAATGTTAGGTTATCTCCCTTGAACATGCTCTCGTGCTTTATTGTTTATTTTGCACGGAATATGTTCATATCACGACCGCTCCATCAGGAAAACATAAGAAATGTATTGCATAGTGGTGATAACATTATTCCACTTTCATACCGAAACTCTGTTTATCAAACTTAGGTGATAAAAGATTTATAATCTTTGGGCTGCTCTCAGTTTCAGTTGGTAATGATATTGATATGATGAGTATTTGGTATGAATCTGCGCATATTTAACACTGTTTACACAGTAACTCTCCGCCACAACAGTGTTATATTTTGATATGTATTTACCGATATAAGCAATAATTTGCAAATTTAAAGGTACACACTTATTCTATGCTATTTTGCAATGAAAATGCTGTATTCAAAGTGATTTATTTACGACCTGGACCATGACAAGGTATGTTTTAACATCAAGTTTACCAGTATACATGCAAAAGCTGCAGTATAAATGGAACGCCTGAACGTAGACTTGCAGAAGTTTCGTGTATTTAAAACGGCTTTAAAAGAATGTACAGTTAAACATAATTTTAGTTTTTTTCTTTTGGAATGATGAATTGAGCTGATCTTGAAAAAAATGCAACATGAATTGATTTGATTTTTAATTTCTATATCTGGAGACTAACTCAATTCTTCAGACAAATCTGAGACAAATTCAAACATGAGCTGCTTCCCAGTTCATTCAATTTTGCCCAAGACTTAATCGATTCATTGCTCATGGAGCCAATAAATGCAAGCTGAAATGTATCCAATGTTTAAAATGTCCCCTCTTGTCTTCAAATTTGGGAAAAGAACATTTCAGTATGCAATAAGAAGCGTTGTGGTCCCGACCATAAGGTTATAATCTGTTTGTAGGTCCAAGCCCTCTACAATAGCCTGAAGGCCCGTGTTTCTAAATGTAGTGGCTTTGTAGATCCACCCACCTTACTCCAGTCTGTTTGCTAGTCCATGTACCCTAAACGTGAGTAATGCCTGTTCTAGGATCTAGGTTGCGGATGGGGTTCCCTTGGGCTCTACATTCTGGAAACATTTCCCAAGTGTCACGTGACCTGCGTCTCGAACTCTAACACGCAGCGCATTCATATCGAAAGCGAGGCTGAACGAAGGGGCGTGTCTGACCGACTGGAGTGTATCACAGCGGATGCGCGATCGTTCACAACAGGGAAACGATACGATCGCATTATGTCTATTGAGATGTTTGAAGTGAGTTAACGTCTGTGTTGTTGCTTGTCTGTATGTCTGTCTGCTTTATAGTTTGCGAGTAACCTTAGTAATATTTTTGAAGTAAATGCAAACATCGTATGCTTACAACAGCACTATTCACCCCTTACTTTGTATTTTATAAACTCCCGAAGACCGGAGTTGTTTTACCCAATTCATAAAAGAATTTACTGCTTTACTTATACGGTACTTTAATCAATACAAGAGAGCGGATTTTTCTTGCATTATCTAGTAAACATGCATTTTTTTTTTATAAAACCGAAAATTCCTTCAAGGAGTTATAGAATTTTACGTGTGTACAAAAGTTATTGACCGTGAAGTTGGATGGGGGAAGTGAATTCCAGAATACTACGTATGTCACAAGTGACCATATAAACTGTGTGTTAATTATTAGAATAATTCGTTCACTACTTATTGTCCTTTTCAGCACATGAAGAACTACGAGATTCTGATGCAGCGTGTGTCGTCCTGGCTGAAGCCGTCCGGGATGTTGTTCCTCCAGATCCTGTGCCACATCAAACATCCCTACTCGTTCGACACAAAGCCGGGCTCAGATACGGAATGGATGGCTAAGAATTTCTTCAGCGGCGGAACAATGCCGTCGGCTGACCTCTTCCTGTATTTCCAGGTGAATATATAAACGATAACACCTACTTTTTCGAAAAATTTCCTTGTCTCATTTTGGTAAACTGTGCGACTCGATGTTTTTCTTGACTGATAAGAAGGACATTTTACTTTGAGCAGTTTAAGAATTTAAATAATAATTTGTATGGCGAGAGACTTGTCAAAGAAAATGAAACTTATACATTTTTAAAACGTTTAATACTTTGTCCTTGAACACCATTTACATTTCCACTGCAAGTTCCTGTATAAGCATTTCCAGAAAAATACGTTCATAGGGTAATGAACGCAATTGGATGAGCGTCATGTTGAAGCTAGTTCTGCCTGTTAGAAGCAAACATTTTGGTGACGTAAGCCTGTCTCGGGAATCTCGTTTGCACTGGCGACACAGTCGGTTCAACATCGAAAATATAAGGGATTGCCTTTATCTAGATTAATTATAATTTTAAAGTATGTATTCAACAGAAATTTCCAATGTTCATGCTGGTATGAACATTGAAAAAAATGCTGTTCAATCCTTATTTAATTGCAAGTTAAATTGTTTATTGTTTTAATATATTCAACGGTGCTTTGTGCTAATGAAAACAGTGACCAATAGTATCCTTCATGTAATATGTAATTTCAACTTTGATAACTGACAAGTTTGAATGTGTTTCAGAGTAACGTATGTCTTGTTGACCAATGGATATGGAACGGTCAGAACTACTCTAAGACTCTGGAAGCTTGGCTGGTCAAGCTTGACCAGAACATTGACACTGTCAAGTCCATGTTCCGGTCAGTATACGGACAGGAGGCTGATCAACAGCTGTTTAACTGGCGACTCTTCTTCATTTTCTGTTCCGAAGTTTTCGGCTACAGTAACGGAAATCAGTGGCACGTGGCGCAATACCTGTTTAAGCGTCAGGCGAAAAGCTCACTTTAGACCAAAGTCGCTGTTTTTAGACATCGTTTGACGTTATATTTTTTATCAATCAAAAATCAGCAAATTCATGATTCGTTTATTAGCAATTATAGTTATATTAAAATCGGATTAGCATGAAGCCCATGGAACGGGTACGGCGGCGACCAAAGTGTAAAAGCTAGAAGGAAAGACGGAGGTAACATTGTTTGGCACTTATTTTAGTGGTTCAGTGTACTTGGCTAGATCAAAGAACTATTTGCTGCCAAACCAGAAAATATTTAAAAAAAAAGATAAACGGCGGAATTTCTATGTACATGGTTATTAAGTCTAAAAAAAGCGATGTACCTGTACATATAACATTACCCAAAACATATGGGCAGACGAAGAGACGATATGGATATTTGCAACAATAATGTAGCACACATGTTGTGATCTACCGTATGAAAACCATTGTGATCTTTCAGCGGGGAGATAACTCTAAGTCTGGTTTATTATAACACTTGTTTTAACACACACTTCCAGGGTTGATAGAACCCTTGTGCATAACGCCGCCTTTCATGCCTATATCACGCCTAATATGGAGTGGAATACATATATATCTTAAAGACATTTGACGTGGTTGTTATTCGTGTGGCAGCTACATATCGCGTGATCTTAAACAGATGTAATGCCTTATTCGTTAGACATTTTAATGTATGCCTAGAAGTGTAACAAAACGTGTACCCAACGCCATTTTGAAATGTACAGTATATTTAATGTTGAACCAAATAATACGACCACAGTTCGTCTCGTATCTTAAACCATGTTTGTATTTTGTAGAAACTGTTTTGGAACCAATCCAAAAACAGCCAAGTATTTAGTTTGCACCGTATGAGTCATATGATGCGCTTAATTCCCAAAACTAAACGTTTGGAATACCTCAGGCTTTTCCGTTTGTCTAGACACCCTGCAGTCAGATGATGTCATCATTTGTGTGACGACATCCAGTAAACTGACTTTGAATTGAGGGACATGCTTACCTCGAAAAATGTACAATATATTTATAAGACTACCTCGTGCTGTATGTTGGGTGTTGTAGGCCAGTTTGAGCTTTCGTAATGTCATTTATTATAATGTTATTGTTTTGACATTTAAGGATTTTACTTCCCCTTTGTTTAGTTTTTGAAGTGATTAGTTGAAATTGTAATTGAAGTTAGAAATAATTAACTGTGAAATATAGATGATGATACATTTGGATGTGATTCAAGGTTGTGATATTAAAATACGTTTACGTTGACAATCAGTGTGTGGTTTATCTTTTAATACGTTTATAACAGTAAACGCAAAATTCATTTTGAAAGCCATTCATTTTTGTTTCATTGTTATTGATTATTCCGTCTTTGCGTATTGCAGAGTTATCTTCTCTTGGGAGCAGGTATTGATTGTTACGTCACTTGTTTGTGAGAGTAACGTCATCAATTGTTGAGAAAACGACGTAATTTTCTCACACAGATCAATGACGTAACAATCAATACCTGCTCCCAAGAGAAGATAACTCTGCAATACGCAAAGACGGAATAAGCATTCCAGGAAAAAAACTGCACTTTTAACAATAGAAATACATACATGTGCATTTCAACCAAGCAAAGTTATATGTTTGTGTCACATCACACGGAACCACACAAATATACTTCTTATTTTGTTAACCTCACATTGAGGCCGCGACACTTAAACATGTACTGATTATTGGCACATACAGTGGGGTAGCATACATGTATACTTGTATGCTCAAGCATTCACTAAAATTTTCCAAGATATTTTCAATCAAAATTATATTCATATAGAAAGTTGTGTTTTACTTGTTGATAATCGGGCTAAAAGGATTTCCCAGAATACCAGAGATTGCTTCTAGAGCCTAGTAGAATTCTAAAAAAAATCAAGCTATAGGAGAGGGAACTCCTCCGGCGCTCGACCCCCTGTAAGCATAACTTAGAAAATGAATTGCTACGCCACTAACATACACTTACAACCTTAACCGCGCACTTGCATACTATCTAGTAGATACAGGATGTACACCGGCTTTGCCAATCAGGTTTAAACATTAATGTTTCGCTTGAGTAGTTAGATAAATTATTTGCTGGTCAAATGTCATTGTAACTAGTCGGAGATGTTCTGAAGGAAACGCGTCAAGCATGACACCTACAAAGTAATTCGCTGTAGATGACGTTAAGAACTATTGCAATAAATGGGAAAATAATTATGCAATTTGTAAAAAAACATGCAATTTATTTCTATGTTTAAACAGTTTTCCCAGAATAATATTCACGTTTTAGCGAAAAGGTTGACGTGCATTTTTGGTAGGCTATTTTTTGTGAGAGGATGAGCGGATTGGTCGAGTGGTTAACACTCCGGCCTTCCACGCAGGCGGCCGGAGTTTGATCCCGGAAGTCGTCGTACGTACGAAATATTCAGCGAAAATGTTTTTCTCCTGCCAACCAAACTCCAACAGCACAGGTGGAGTATGAAATGGTCTTGGTGGATGTTGCGGTATCTGTGCTATTGCATTCAAGTGACGTTGGAAGTACGGTCCCACTACAAACAGAACACATTACATCTCCAGCACACACGCAGGCATACACACATAGGGATATATTAGCCAGGTGACATAGGACTAGTAGTTAGCGCCTGATAAGGCAGCTCCTGCGAATTACTTAAAATTATATTGATTAATGTATATCTGTGTTCTGTAAAGCGCTTTAGCTTAATTTTTCATTTTCTGTTTTTGTTGTTGCCATTTTTTTTCTGGCAACTTTTGAAAAAATCGTTTGGTTGTCAATGCTTAATTCTTGTTGCCACGGCAACTGAAATAGTCGCCACTTAGAGCTCTAAGTTGTGTATCATATATTTGTTTACCTAATTTGATATGTAAAAAGATAGTTCTTATAATTAATTTATCTTTCTTTTAAGAAATTCTTGGTGATTTAATGTAATTTTTTTCCATTCATCATCAGTGACACATTTTTTGATGCAATGGAACAATGTTTGTTTTTAAAGTTGATATCAATGATCGTTTCAGTAAGTTAAGCCTTCCACAGTTCCTGCCTTGTGTTATGATTTTATTTGGACGCTTTTTGGCTAGTTTTTCCTCAGTTCCTGCCTATAATTGGGCATTTGTCCTTGTATGTGGACGTTGTGATTTAATTTTCCTCCGTTGCTGTTCTGAACTATGTGATGCTATTGATGATGTCGATTGTGAAAATGATTTTTACTTGAAATTAAATATCACATGAAGTGAATCTGAAATTGTGGATGTTATTTTGTATTTGAAGTCCTTCACTCTGTGATTCCAAAATGGTCCATGCCATCCATGTGACATGAAAACTGATTAATCTTTTTGTAAAATGTCATATAATAAAACAATTGTGGACTTCAGTTTCGGTCTATCCCTGATTTACGGACCTGGTCTGAACAATATTCATCGAGGCCGAAGAATATTGTACAGACCAGGTCTGTAAATTAGGGATAGACCTCACCTGTAGTTAATGACCGTATATTATGCCATAAGCAAAAAATAAAAAGGTTTAATTAAAGCACAAAACATGAATTCCATGGTCTATTCTAACAAATAGTCTACGACACTTGTCTAGACCGAATTCTGGGTATACCGATATTCTGCATAATGTTGAAATTCAATTTCTGATGAGAATTGCAAATATAAAAACCAACGTTGTATTTCGACGTATACGATCTAATCTAACATATATCATTTGGTCAGTATGTTGTGAACACTTGAGTGTTTCATTGTAGTGTATCCCTTGTCATAGTGTCACAATGAATAAACCCTAAGATATGAAAGATTAACGATACCTGTGTTTCAGACGGGATACAGTTCCCGACCTTAAATACGATATCAGTGCCTGGTTAGATAACCATATGTGTTTAGTTTGATCAGTGACAAATACGTTAATCTGTATAGTGAATATTTCAATAATGGAGGCAGTGAAATTTCTCCTCATTTTTGTGGTAAGTCTGGTTTTATAACATTAACATCCTCAATATATATACATGTAGATGGACACTGTACTCCTCATCTTTACTGTAGGTCTGGTATCATATCACCCCACACCTCCCCTGTATATATAGGCCTGTAGATCTGGTATCATATCACCCCACTACTAACCCTGTATATATAGGACTGTAGGTCTGGTATCATATCACCCACTACTAACGCTGTATATATAGGACTGTAGGTCTGGTATCATATCACTGTAGATATAGGACTGTAGGTCTGGGATCATATCACCCACGACTGTAGGTATGGTATCATATCACCCGACACCTACCCCTGTGTATATATATGACTGTAGGTCTGGTATCATATCACCCCACACCTTCCCCTGTATATATATGACTAAAGGTCTGGTATCATATCACCCCACACCTACCCCTGTATATGACTGTAGGTATGGTATCATATCACCCGACACCTGCCCCTGTATATATATGACTGTAGGTCTGGTATCATCTCACCCCCCTACTAACCCTGTATATATAGGACTGTAGGTCTGGTATCATATCACCCACTACTAACGCTGTATATATAGGACTGTAGGTCTGGTATCATATCACCCACTACTAACCCTGTATATATAGGACTGTAGGTCTGGTATCATATCACTGTATATATAGGACTGTAGGTCTGGTATCATATCACCCACTACTAACGCTGTATATATAGGACTGTAGGTCTGGTATCATATCACTGTATATATAGGACTGTAGGTATGGTATCATATCACCCGACACCTGCCCCTGTATATATATGACTGTAGGTCTGGTATCATATCACCCGACACCTCCCCCTGTATATATATATGACTGTAGGTCTGGTATCATATCACCCCACTCCTCCCCTGTATATATAGGCCTGTAGATCTGGTATCATATCACCCCACTACTAACCCTGTATATATAGGACTGTAGGTCTGGTATCATATCACTGTATATATAGGACTGTAGGTCTGGTATCATATCACTGTATATATAGGACTGTAGGTATGGTATCATATCACCCGACCCCTACCCCTGTATATATATGACTGTAGGTCTGGTATCATCTCACCCCCCTACTAACCCTGTATATATAGGACTGTAGGTCTGGTATCATATCACTGTATATATAGGACTGTAGGTATGGTATCATATCACCCGACACCTACCCCTGTATATATATATGACTGTAGGTCTGGTATCATATCACCCGACACCTACCCCTGTATATATATGACTGTAGGTCTGGTATCATATCACCCCACACCTTCCCCTGTATATATATGACTAAAGGTCTGGTATCATATCACCCCACACCTACCCCTGTATATATAGGACTGTAGGTCTGGTGTCATATCACCCCACACCTCCCCTGTATATATAGGCCTGTAGATCTGGTATCATATCACCCCACACCTCCCC